CCAGATACAACATTTCTCCCAAGATGTGATGCATTCTGACAGGGTCCTTCAACGCCGAAAGTTTCGAGGCTCAGACACGGTCAGGAAGATTTGAAGCTGTACCTCACGGTACCATGCCTAAGAAGGCCACCTGAAAATGTCGGTTGACCCAACGCTACGATCGTGCTAGGTTCACGACTAAGAACACACTTTCTACTTTGCGGGGATTGGCCATTGACACTGATGTCGAAAAAAGACGTTCACGAACGAATTTGTTTTTATCTGTGTGTTTGTATATTTCGGACTATAGTCCACGCCCGGTGCATAGTCCGCAGTATTGTCATGCGCAGCACACCTTGAAATATGCGAGCTTTATTAACAGACAAAGAATTAAGCTTTTATCATACAGAAATCGTCATTAACATACTCTGTATTCACAAAATCCGTCACGTCTCGTCATAATAAACAATCTAGAAAAAACAAACCCTTGTATTGTCCGCACCTGTATGCAGTCCACACTACATAAAATTAAAACTTGTAAATATTTTTAGTTCGCCGCCGGAAAATACGATAGTTGTTGGTTCCTGTACTCCCAGCTAGACGTCGAATCAAATTAAGCGGGCGTGTTCGCCGATCAATCGCCGTTTCATCCAAATGGCTCGGAACGACGATCAATTTGAAAGATGTTGCCTATCGAACTCGAACGCGTCTAGGAGGCTATCTTAATGGGCGTTAGAAAGCGGGCGAAAGGCACTGCGAGTTGAATGAGGAACTTGTTCCAACCGGTCGATTCTAACCTTCACCTACAACTCGGTGATTTGTTTGCTTTTTGTAACGCGAGGTCTTGCAATTATCGGACAGTCCTTATTCAACGAGCTTTCCCCGGGGCTTATCTCGCGCTACTCCTCTGCGTCTGGGCGCCGAAGTTGCCTCGTCGTCTGGACATAGTCGCGTAATTGGCAAGGAGAGCCATTATTATACGAATAAGGGGTCGAGCACTTCTCGAAGGTTTTATTCTACCTCCCTTTCATCTCTGAAGTAGGGTCTGTTTGTACGGCATATAAAATATAGAGCGATATCCCCATTTTTATGAGATGTTAGCGCTTTTAGCCTATAACCAAATTAGAATTGACGTAAAAGTATGCCATACGTGCCACGGAGCTGGACGTTACTCGTGTAAGAGGACGATGAGGGGAATGCACCTGACGAATGTTTACGAAATTTCGCCTTAAATGGTGCTCGACATTTTTTAATCATACTACTTTTTCCACTTGCTCGAAACTCACAGGACTGAATAAATCGGTCTTGTTGAGACGCGTTCTCTAAATATAAATTAACTGAACCACTAACACGAACGAATTAATTGGGTTCCAAGACCATAAGATTCCAGTCCGCTTTTACCGTTACTTCAGCTTCTACCGAAGTTCGATCTCCATGTTACCTATCCGCCACTAACCGCTTCACTTTTCTATTCCTCTATTTCGATTTCTCTCAGACTTCCCCGTGGGAACGGCATGCACCTATAAAAGCGGGGTGGATGCGGCGTAGCGTTACGGCGACGGTACGTTTACCATTCAAAATTACTTCGATAATCCAGCCTCGTCGCCAATGGATTTAGGTCACTGTTTCACTGCACCTCTGCCCGGAGCCACACATGGACTTTAGTATGCGTCCGTAGCAAGTAACTATACGCAAAGCGAAACCGTCCTTCAACTCGGACACTGACGGAGCGCGTGTGTTAGACTTCGGGGTCTGTCCGTCACGAAACACGTGCCACGTCGGTGCATCGGTACTCGGTGAGTCTGACGTCTCTTGCAACATAAGACCAGCAGCAGAAGCTCCGCCTCTAGCACGCGCTTGTTGCCTTCCGGCGTGTTCGGCTGCGCGTGCGCCCGAGTGTTATCCAGGGTGGAAAGCTCGCGATAGAGGCGGTGCATCTACTGCCGATCTTATGTTGCAACGGACAATGCATGGGATCATGTCCGACTCCATTCCACTGTGGTTGATCCCGGTTGAAATTGCGCCCATTCCGTCGCTTTCGGTGGCGCGAAGAGATCGGATGTGACGCGGGACGAAGCGTGAGGGCCGAGAAGACCACGGTGACCCCTGTCCTTGACTGCGGCTCCGTTGGGAAGAGGCGGCGGCAATCGAGAGTTGCGAAAGTACGCACTCCTTTCCGGGAGGTCCCGTGTGGCTCGTGGGGCGATGGAAGAGCCATCCTCACACCCGGCCGCCGTAAGCAAAGGCCTCGTCGTGACGCCTTCGGCAACTCGTTCGTCCTCTCTTTGGGCGTGCGCACAGCTGCCGCTCAGAGTTCCGTCAAAGAGCAGCTCACCCGCGCCAAGGTTCCACAATGGGGCCAAGCAACGTTTATCGAAGGGTTGCTGCTGGCATGCTGGCCGTGCGTGCCTAATACTCGTCGTGATATGAATATGGACCAGCTATAGTAAAAGGAATAAACATAATTTGGCTTCCTTCTTAAAGTACCTATAGGAACTAAATGACAAGGCAACTTTTTGCGAGTAAATTTATCGGACATGTATCTGTCCCATAGACTGAGAAAACGTGTCTAGCGGGAGATAACAGCTGGATATTCTCCTATGCGTATTGCGCAAAACGAAACGCGGACGAGGCAGAGGAGGACGACAGGACACGACATAGTACGCCGTGTGACGTCGCCCTTCTCTGGGTTGTCCGCTTTTTAGTTTTTGGAAAGATGAACCCCATCCGACTTTTTAAATTTTAATTTTAAAAAAAAATTAAATTTAAAAGGTTTTAAATTAAAGAAAGTTGTCACCAGAAGTACACACTTGGCGCCCAACGTAGGGTACTGCCCTAATGTGTTTGATTACGCGCGCTATACAATCGAATGTTTTTTTTTTTTTTTTTTTTTTTTTTTTTTTTTTAGTTTGTATGAGAACGGACAAAAACAGACGCAGGACGGGAGGGAGCAGGGAGATTTGGAACTTTAAATAAATCTCTCCCGAAAGAACATAGAAAAGGTCCCAGTTCCGGGCATTTAGCCCATTTTGATATCTTAGGCGCGCACTATCTGGTCAAAAATTCTGCACGTTATACATATATATACCTTTTTTTTTTTTTTTTTTTTTTTTTTTTTACGCTTGAGGCGTCGTTTGCGTGGGATTCGCACGAGGCCATTTCACACGCTCGCACGCATGGGTGGGCTGTCTCGTAGAAGTTTTCTTTCGTGAGCCGCGCAAGTTAAAATAAGAGGAAAACTACCCGCACTCATTTAAAGGGGCGATGCAACAATTTTTGTACCGTACGCAAATACCGCTTAGAACGAATCCCTGACGTTAATGACCTATAAAACGCGCGTTCGTTATTCACCCCACGCAATAGAAATCCCAGAAAAAAAAATTAAGGAAAAACGAGCAGCGTTCACCTCCTCAACACGCAGCCAGAAAAAGCGGCCACGCGATCTGGAGCCGATTATATGCCGCTAATGTTGATCATAGCCACGTACTGGGGTTGGCAAAGAACAGGACACGCGCTGAGTTCCAGACATTGTTATGGCTCGGCTATTGTCGTCATTGCAGCGATTGGACACGAGCCACTACCCGTATGCTTCTCGAGCTAGTAATTATCACGAGCCCAAATTGAGTGCCAACGCAATGCTCGGGTCCAATCTATGAACCGCATTCAAATATCGTCATTGGGGTGTACTGCGATCCTCACGTTACGTCATCACATTTTGCAAAGAAGAGATTGAATGAAAATGAGCGCCCTTGTCCTTGAAATTACTCCGCAACAAAGGAGTTTCTTGGCCAGTGGCGTAGCGTGCGAGTATCCTAGAGTCCCACTATATTTCGTTTCACCCTAAGTGCGAGCGCGGCCGATGTTATGAGCAGAAGGGCCAATCAGACAACGAAAGAGGCACAAAGTCATGGCGTGCTCTCTGCAGTTGGTAGGACTAGCCGGTATTTGCTGTCTCTCTGTGCGTGCTCCTCCGCCGGCTAATCGTATCAAGCGTAGAGAGCACGCCATGACGTTGCGCTTTTTGCGCTGTTTGATTGGCCCTTCGGCTCATAACATCGTTTTCGCTCGGACCTAAGGGGAAACAAAGTATTGTGCCAGTAAGCTCGTGTAAAGTGAAAAACTTTCCAATTGAATATCGTTGCACCGCTCCTTTAACATATAAGGCGTTTAAGGGCCGAGTTTCACGTGAAAAACGTTACGCTCGAACATAACGAAAAAACCGCCGTTAGGCAAGCCAAGGCAAGAACATAAAGCGTGCATAGCCCATAGCAGGCAGTGCATGCATAGTGGCTGACAACTGAAGAAACTCGGGGCGTGACTGATTATCTTTATGTTTGGAGATTTTTCATTGGCTGCAGAGCAATATTAAGCTATGCTCAGGACCCGCCACGCCATGATGCTATAGTGCTTTTTTGGGGGCCTTGAACCTAACGGTTGAATGGTGCTTGTATGTTTAGAGAGAACGGTAAGGACTTTCTGCGTAACGTTTCTGGCTATTCCATACGAAGTTTGTGTAGCCTGGTGTAACTATATACGTCGGGTCAGCGCGAAGACGAAGTTATAATGTTGTACACGTTATACAAATCTTTGTAACAAAAATTACCGAGGTAAATATCTATACCGGTGTTGCTTATTAAGGCTGGCTCAGATTTTTGCGTTTTGAGCACACCTGCGTTACGACCACAGATTATTGCTTTCAACCAAATGGTTGTTATGCGACCGAGCAGCGCGTCGTACGCAGCGGAACGCAAGGAATCGTAATGCAGTTGGTCGTACACCAGACGCGAACGTCTGAGCCTGCCTTGTGTATGGCCTTTCTGCCGAACGTCAGGTAGCTACACTTTGGATCTCTTCCCACTTGAGATTCTTGCTCGAATTCCCTGCTTTACACCTCCTGCGACATTTTTTGCTGCTTCATTCGGACTGCCCGTCTTTATTTTAGTTATAGAGACGATCGGGCAGTCTCGATGGCCGTACGCATGCATTGCTTCTAACGCTTGAATCTCGTTTGTGTCCGGCAGATGGCAGGGCCGAGAGTGTTGTGCAGGTGAAGAGCGTCGACCTGCACGTGAGCCAGAATGCGAAAAAGCACCACACGGACGACTTCGACCTGAGCAAAGGGGAGCACCCCATCCTGATCGTGCGCCGAGGAGATCCCTTCAAGGTGACCGTCGAGCTGAACCGCGAGTACAACCCGGACAAAGATGCTCTGGCCTTCGTCTTCACCGTCAAAGGTGAGAGGCCTTTTCCGCACCGAGACCCTGGAACAGCTCCGAAGACACCTCATCCGATTGAACGTTCCGGCTGTTTCTTCTAAAAGGCCGACGATACACTTCGCGCTCTCCACTTTTGCCCGCCTCCTCCTTATATCCTCTCCACTTTTTACCTTGCACTAACTTCACTCCCCTCGCAGCTTAGAAGAGGGAAACCGCTAAAAGGATTATCTTCCTTGCAGAACGCCGAGGTTGTACGTCGGCCTTTAATGTGTCCTGGATTGCCGCAGCCACATTGGCGTCAACGTGTAACCATCTATGCAAGGTCACATCCGTTCACCTTAAAGGCCTGTTCATGCATGCAGCTGAGTGCTACAAGCATAGCGCTGGCCTCGCGCTAAGCGCGTGCTGACGGGAGCGTTCACCAGCTTTGTATCGTACCGTCAAAACTGTTACTCATGGCAGACGATAAGTAGCTGACGACACGTGAGCAGCGCTACATCAGCGCTTCGCTGCATGTGAGAACTGGCCTTTAAGCTGGCTTTCTGTTGTGAGCGAGACGAGCATGTCGGACCAATCCGACCAATCAACCACCTCCTTTTCATCACCTTACTTCGCTCTTGTGCGTGGCTATGGGCGGGGGCATGATCACGTGGAGAAAGATAGACGCACGGCTGGTCCAACGAGCACGTAGCTTCCACTGCACTGGCAGCGCAGGTGTGAATGGTTCACATTTTCCATCGAACGTACGCAGTCAAAATAGACGGAATCAAAACGGAAGCGCCTATCTGCCTTCTCGCAGATGAGGAAACACCTTCGTACACCAAAAACACGGTGGCCGTCGTTCCGGTGGGGTACCGAAGCCCGAACGAGGTGTTCGGCATCACTTCGTGGGCAGCGCTTATACAGAGTACCCTGGACAAGAGTCTGGACATTGAGGTGAGCCCGTCGTCTCCCTTCTCCCGGTTTCGGGCAGGGCAAGCGGGCTGCACTGGCTGGCTCTCGTGTGAAGAAACATTTCCTATCCGTCTAACAATAATTTTCTGTTTTGTTTTTTGTTCTTGTTTTGGTGTAAATTGTAAGACGCGTGTTTCCCTCGATTACTTGGTGTTGGTTGAGCCTTGCTTTTCAAAGCCATTCGTGTGATCTGAAGGTAGCAGTTGTCAACGGTGCCGCCGTGACTGCGGTTCACAGGCGTGGTAGCTACTAAGTAAAGTAAGTATTGTCTTTTTTTTTTTTCTTGTTTGCGTTTTGCATATGGGGGAAGTCTGGGGGCATTTACAGTATAGGTATTTGTTAGGGTAATTATGCTAAACTAGAAACTAAACACAAATTCTGTTCTTTTTTTATGTTCATACTGAACATACTTACCAAGAGCAATACCAAGCGCCACGAGATACATTCTTTATAAAATCGAACTCGCATCTCTGATGAATATAAAAATAATATTGTCATACAAATAAACCGACCCTAAGAGTTTGAGCGCTTGATCATCGACAGTTTAGGATCTCACTACTAAAAATTTGCCAAGATTTAGGTGCTTTTATTTTAGATTACGCCTCCCGTCAACGTCATTGTGGGAGACTGGGTGATGGATATCGACTCCAAGATTCGCAATGACGATGAATTTGGCTACCGATACACCCACAAAGATCCCATCTATATTCTCTTCAACCCTTGGTGCAGAGGTAAGTGGAGCTCCCTTCCAGCGTTCAAACGTGAATTCTAACTTAACATTCAATGGGGCCCGTTGGCTGAGAGCTAATTGCTTAAAATTAACTACGTTAGCAAGATAAAGGATTATCAGGCTCATGTAATGCGCTATGCCCAGCACTGAAAACAAAGACGACACAGCCTGGCAAAGGAGCGAGAAATGATTTATCCCCCCCCCCCCCCCTTCTTTCGAATTTAGCATGCAAGGTAGACAAACAAGTGGTACATACTCCCCCAAAACCTCCACATAAGTATATAACACGATCCCAAATTGAGACACCCGTGAGAGCGAGGCACTGATTAGACTGCGGGCAAGTTCGACAGGTGTTTCTATATAGATGTGTCAATCTTTGGCAAAGAATGCTATGACTGACTGGAGGACATTATTTGGGGGCACTTCACATAACAGCCATCGCACTCGTGGTTTCGGAGAAATCTGTTGTGATCGTCTGTTACTGCACAAAACAGTTTGCGAAAAAAAACTTTTAATGAGGCACCATGGGCTAGCAAGTAATTGAGCAGTCCAGTCTGCTGAACTCGCTTTGCTTGCCGAGCATCTTTTTCCACTCTGAAAGACACATTAAAAAGCATTTGTTTCGAGCGTTCTTGAAGGGAACGTCACCATCTTATTCCCATGCCTTTGTAGCATCGTTTGAGGTAGAAAACAGATATGATTCGTTTGCACCACGCCCGGGTTCGATATTCTCACGCTGCTTCTGACATCTTGAACACGGAAAGAAACACGCGGCCATTTCTCTACTGGTAAACTTCTCGCTCTTTATTAGAGATTTTCGCTGTCCCGCAAGGCCGTTCGCAACCCACTACGATACCCAGAAAACTACAGCCAAGGCCATTAGCGCACAGCGCAGTAGCGGCTTCTTCGTTGCGGAGGGCTTATAGCGGAGGGGAAACGCAGTCTACAAAAACTCCCTATTGAAACGACATCGACATAGTAGTTTTGGAGCCACCAGCAAATACCTAAGACACAGCCGCGCAATAGACCCCTTTCAAGAGTTCATCAAGCAGCAGTGGCGGATGCCATTTCTTGGAGGAGTCATAGTTTCTGTTTTTAGTTTCTAGGCTAGGTGGCGCAAGCTACCACCCGATATGAAGGGTACAGTCGTTAGCATCTATCCATCCATCGGGCTCGAAGGGTATAGATGGGAATGGGATCCGAGTCCTCGCCGAACGCTGAAGCAGCGTTCATTACCAATACGAAATGAGACGAGTTCACCCCGACTCGTGTCCAATACATGCTCAGAGTGCTTGCCCAAACAATGGCGCACTCGGATAATTAACGCAGCAGCTACTGAATGGCGTGCAGTTTTGAAGAGGGCTGTTGCCTTGCGAGGTTTTTGAGGTTGAACATATCTTTGCTTTTTGACCCCTAGCCGACACCGTCTACATGGACGACACCAGAATGAAGTTCGAATGTGTGCTCATGGACACCGGACTCATCTGGAGAGGCAATCACACCAGGCTTCGACCCACCGTTTGGAAATATGGACAGGTACACAGCGTTCTCCACGTGCCCATTTGACAGATGCGGTCATCTTTAGTGGCGTTTATGACTTGCCGCAGCGAAGTCAATTCAATTTGGGGGATCAGGAATGAGGTCAGGCGTGATGCGGCTAATGCACTTCGCCCAGCCGTGTTCATGAACGTTTTATTGTTATTGGCTATAGAGTTAAGTCTAAATTTGTTGAAAAGTTTGATGGTTTCGACTCTAACACATGACGACCCGAGGGCAGTAATATATTCGGATTTAATCGCGAAATACGCGAGTTTTGCGTTAAAATATAATTTAGAATCCAAAAGTTTTTTTTTGTTTTTTGCGTTGCATTTATTTGAAACAGTAGACATAAATTTCTCATGTAGTTTGCACAAAATCTAAGACGTCAGCGTGCAATCGGTTTTCGATGCTATTGGATTGCCGTTTGTTTTCACATTACTGCTACACTGTCTCAATAGATTGATGCCATGCGTCAAGCTCTCTCGTTTACGGACATCACTGTGCTTTGCCTTGCAGTTTGACAAGAACGTTCTCGAGTGTTGCGTCTACCTGCTTCGACACGTCGGAAAATTTGCAACTCAGTCCCGCTCGGATCCTGTCAAAGTGTCCAGGCACATTTCTGCAGTGGTGAGCGTTGTCACGTTAAGTCACTCGACGCTTCCTTTGATCAGTCCAATCTGAGGAGTAACTAGTAGTGCGTCTTGAGAAAGACCACGGCCACTCATGTATCCTTAAATCCTTTAGCAAACTAGCAAAAAGTAACTTCCAGATCGAACGATCGTAGCTGACTTGTTTATCTTATCTCATTTTATTTATATATAGATAAATAGATATGTAACCAATGTAGGACGGGTAGATATTGAAACTTTGCTAGGAAATCAAAATACATCGGCATAGTGCGAGGCAATCATAATTAAAATATTACTTCATATTAACCACCCAACTTATCAAGACTCTGTGAACAGAGAAGAGTGACAAGAAAAATTCGTAATGACTACCTAGTTGCAAAAAATATTCACAAGCACGTTACTTAACAAAAGAAGGAAAAAAAAACAGATTTGAAAATGTATTCAGAAACGTTTTTTTTCTGTAGTACGTAAAATACAAGGAATCGAATAACTCTTTCAGTGAGGGACGAGGTTACTCATTTTGGAGCAGCAATTGATTCAGTGAGCAAGTTTCACTCCTGGGCTCTACGCGGAAAGCATGCAGGAATAGTTAAAGCCATCACTTCTGCACATGATATCAGTGAGTGATTCGTTGTCTTTATTTGTCGCGACCCTGGACGTACTGAAATGAAATTAACTTTGATAGTCAAAATTGTAGTCACCATTCAGTAGATTTAAGGTAAAATTAAACAGGCTAACCTTATTGATTTTCTCTGTGAAGAGCAAGGTCGACCTGGACGTAAAGCTCTGAACACGGTTCACACCTATAATAGCAAGGCCGTGGTGCCGAAATTTCGGCGTCGCCTACGAGAAGTGCTGCGTGAGCGTATGTTCTCAGAGGCTGGGTTTACACGAACGCGATCGTACCGCATCGAATCGAGCACGGAGGGACCAATCGCACGCAGCTGTCTCCCTACGTCTTCTTTTACCCATCCAGCTACTGCGATTCGAGCACTCTAAAAACATGGTGTACCCATTACACCCTTTTGTCCTATATAATGCACCCCAAAACTTCGGTTCGACGTACAGCGCACTGACGTCCAACTGACGGCCCCAACTTTCACGAGAGGCTTGATGGCGGTGCGATATAACATATTAAACAGCTAAAGTTCGTATCAAAGACTACAGAAAAAAAAACAAAAAAACAATAAGGTTTTGCAGTAGGGCCAAGAAAACTCCGATTACGTTTTTGCAGTCAGTCACACGTACACTAGCTCTTTTAATAAGTTGTACGACTCGGCTATCAAGCCACTCGCGAAAGTTGGTACCGTCGGTTCGACATCAGTGCGCTGAATGTTGAACTGAAGTTTTGGGGTGTCGTATATGTGACAAGGGGTGTAAGAATATAGTTTTGTTTTCTCTGTGTATTCTCAGCGGCTAGGTTTACACGAACGCGATCGTAGAGAATCGAATCGAGCAGGGACCAATCACAGCCTGTCTCTCTACTTCTTCCTTTCTACCCATCTACTTACTGCGAATCAAACTCGTCACATCTCGATTCGATTCGCTACGCTTGGTCCGAAGCACTGACGTCAGCACGCGTCGGCCTCTCCCTCTCTCCCCGGCGCTGACCAACTGACAGACACCGCCGGGTTTTCGTCAAAATGAGCTCTTTCGTTTTCGTCAGTCACGCTCACAGCTGGCGTGGAGCCAGAGAGGAGGCGCCGCTGCGCAACACCTCCTTGATAACAAAGCTGTAGTGTTGTATTAGATGGCATCATCAGAAAGGCCAACGCTGGACACAAATTGAAAACGAGTGCTGCGCCAGCGCTCGGCATCAAATCACGTTTGAGCCGGTTGTTCTTCGCTCTTGGTTTTTGTGGTAGCCATGCATAGGCTGTGATGCGTGTGTGTGTATAGTTAAAATGATGGATACGGTTCCTTCCACCAGTGGCATGGATATGGTTCTTTCCACGAGTAATATGGATGACCGTGTCCAAAGGTGTCGACGTACTCTTACAGGCAGAGTACAGAAAAGGGGTAAAAACAATTACAGGAAGATCCATTGGTGGATTCTTAGGGAATACGTTAGCATAACCCTTGGGAAACGCCACACACGTTCGCCTTTGGAAAACGCTAACACTGACCCCGTAACGAGGCCAAAAAAATGCAGCAAAACATAGAGGGAGCAGAAGACAAAGCCAAAAGAGACAGCCAAAATATAAATGTGAAGGGGTCAGCGTCAGCGATTTTCAAAAAGAGGCGTGCGTGGCGTTTCGCAAGGGTCATGCTAACCATTCCCTAAAAATCCGCCAATTAAATCTTCCTGTATTTTTTTTTTTTTACAGTCGGTAAATCTTTAATACTTTAGAGATGCGCAGAACATGGGACTAACGTTGATCGCGATTGTGCGTTTCGCGCTCCGCTGCGCTCTCGTCGTTGAGTGTTTCAACCTATGACACGGCTGTTGTGGCGTCGACACACGCGGTACACTAGCGTCGGACCAGTATTTCATTTCTTTTTCTTCACCTCTAGGTGAACGAGGCGAACGAGGGAGGAGTCCTGTACGGAAGCTGGAAGACTTCCTTCCCGAACGGCACGCATCCTGCCGCGTGGACGGGCAGCGCTGCCATTCTGCAGCAGTACCTAAAATCCAAGAAACCCGTCAAGTATGCCCAGTGCTGGGTCTTCTCTGGAGTCACAACCACGGGTTCGTCGTTCGACTCTTTTGCTGTGGCATGCTCGTAAGAGTTGAATTCACAAAACCCTTAGAAGAAGAAAACACAAGCTTGTCGTCCTCCTCATTTTTTTATATTTATGTCTTACCTCCTTTTTTCGATCGTTTGATTGACGTCTATGAAAGCTAATGAACAAAAAAAAAAAAAAAGGTGATTGATCAAATCAGCTTTCAAAAACAATGCAAGAAAAAAAATATTTTTAAATGGCATAAATAGGACACATTTTTTCAATAATTGTTCCAAGAAAAAGAAAAATCATTTCGCGCAATATTTACGCCGTTCGACGCAATTTAGGTAGAGATCACGGCTCGCTCTAAGCCCCGCCCACAAATTAGTGGCCCCGCCCATTACTACGGCATACACTCTAAAAAATGTTTGTGCGTCTACTTTCACGCACAATACTCGGAGAGCCAATCAGCGCAACTTACGGAGGCAACTCAGCGAATGACGATGCCGAAACATATGTTTAGACCAAAAAACGCGGACTGAGTTGTGACATTAAGCAATGCAAAACGTCACACTTGCATTGCTTAATGTCACAACTCAGACTGCGTTTTTTGGTCTAAACATATGTTTCGGCATCGTCATTCACTGAGCTGCCTCAGTAAGTTGCGGTGATTGGCTCTACGAGTGTTGTGCGGGAAAGTGGACGCGCAGACTTTTTTTAGAGTGTACCGGCTTGGCTGCTCAACCGTACACGCTAACAAGCGTGAAGTCTCCCTTTCGCGACGCCTGATGTGTCTAGTCTGGAAGCCTAATACCGCCTGCTAGTCGTGCGTGCAGAAACGCGGCAGCCTTCGGCATCGTCTGCTATTTCACCGCCGTCTATCGTTGTATTAGTTGTATGCAATTCCCGTGAGACGCAGAGACGAAAGCTGCGCGTCGGCGCCCGTTTTCGCCTCCGTCCGTCTGCTATTCCTCCCTCGTCTAAAAACGTCTGCAACACTCAGACGACGCGATCATGAAAGCGGCGTCCTTTCCATCATGCACGAGCCACGGTCCTATACAAGCGTATGTCAGCGTCTATCGGTGTGCGGTAAGCGACCGAAAGGACTAAAAAAAATGAGCGAAATAAATATGCAATCTTTCCAGCTTTACTGTTTTTTTTTTTTCTTTTTCACATGGCTTCCGTGAGCAAGATGGGCGAGCGTCATGAGGCAAAATTAAAACGCGACGTAAAAATATTCGCTTTGGTAGGCCAGGTGCACTGTAAAACTTGAGAACACTTGCCTTTTGAAGCGAAATGACGGGATCAAACCTAGACAAACTTGATGCGAGCCGAACGCCTGACTGCCTCCAACCAAATGGCTCGAAAAATCTTACTTGTGTAGGTACTATCTTGCCGGTATTGAAACCATGGTCGCAATCACTACAGTCGCACCATTCACAGAGCAGCGGGGACGCTTTTACGGGAACCGGCATCTTTATACAGCACAAACACGCACAAAGAAAGAAATCAAGCCCGATCGATCTATATAGTTGATCTGGGACGCTAGGCTTAGAGCACTCTCGCTACGAGAACAAGTATCCGCACAGCGCTTCCGAAGGCGCGTACTTGCTCCAGTTGTTTGCAGCAGAATATGTCGGTAGAGGAGAACTCCTTTAAACACCTCTGTGAACACAAAACGACTCGCAGTTATAAAAATTGACCAGCTCGTTCAGAATGTATTCTGAGATTGCTTCTCCCGCTTTGGTTTGAAAAGTTAACTATACCATTGGGGGGGGGGGGGGGGGGGGGCGGGGGGGCTGCCGGCATATGCCGGCAGCCCCCCCGCCCCCCCCCCCCCCCCCCCCCCCAATGGTATAGTTAACTTTTCAAACCAAAGCGGGAGAAGCAATCTCAGAATACATTTCAAAACAATAATGACTCTATCTTGATTATTTGCTTCTCAAATATAAACAAATAGTCGATTAAAATACTATCACGGCACAGCCATACAAATTTATAACCAACGTTTGACAAGTCAATCATCTCTCCAGTCAGTGACAGCGGTAAGCACCTTGTAAGCACGGGGAGGGGCTTAGCGGGCTGCGACCTCCACCTTCTGCACGTAAATTGCGCCTAATGGCGTAAATATTGCGGATTTTTGTTTTCGTGGTCAATTTTTATTTTAATATAGGTGTCCCAACTTTTCTTTTCTTACAGTGTTTCTTTAAGGAAGGACCCTACCCTGAAGGCAAACCGTTTAGCCGATGGTATAATTTGTATGAAATTGACCTTTTCCACATAACGGCGGCACCAGGTGGTGGCTGCACGAACTAAAAATCGAAGAAGTGATCTATCTGCGCTACCAATCGATAATGGGAGCTACGCTACCAGTTTCTTCGCTCTCTGAGCTGCGTCGCGAGCCCAACGCGACGCAGCTTTTTTTTTTTTTTTACGCTACCACTTTCTTTTTTTGAGTAACACAATTATATATATGCTGCAATTACGTGTTATACTTGCTGATCCACGGCCTCTTTCCGAATTTCCTCGATTTTTCGTGCCTACTTCCGCCGCTTGGCATCAGGCGCTCGCGCGTGCGCAGAACGCTTCTTGGAAAAGGTCCATTTGAAAGGTATAATCGTATCCAGGCCAGGATTTTGTTTCGGGGGGGGGGGCCCGGCCACGACAAAAGGCTGTATGAGGGGGGGGGGGGGGGGGCTAGTTGCCAAGGTCCCCCCCCCCCCCCCCCCCCCCCAACCTGGCTACGTGCTTGATCGTAGCAATAAAAGATGATGCCATGCCAGATTATCTCTCTTTAAATTAATCGTTTCTTAGAGTTACATAAAAGTATGTGAAATAAACACTGCACCTACCGTTCAGATAGTCGTCGGAGGTAACAGAGCGCGCAAACCGAGAGCCCAATTTATAATGCGGAAGCCTAGCTGTCCTTCCTCCGTCCCGCGGCATCAACGGGATTGAAAGAATGCGAGTAATGTTTCTCGCTGCGTTCGCATGCGTTGTTCTTGCCCACCAGTGTTTCGCGCCTTGGGGATCCCGGCGAGGAGTGTGACCAACTACTCCTCGGCCCACGACACCCACAACAGCCTGACGGTGGACAAGTTCTACGACGAACACGGGAAGAGTATCGAGACGCTCAACAAGGACGTCGTCTGGTGAGTAGGCCCCTGTCCCATCCAACCCCAGCGCTCGGGGCTCTCGTGGAATCGCGACGCTGTGTCGAACGACAGCGGGCATCGCAGGCGCGTGCCACGTTTTGCGACGTGACCATGCATATTAGTTCTCCACGTTCGCCTAAGATGACATCCGCAGTGCCAGAGCTCCACTGCAGCATCGGCGTAGCGAACCAGGTTTGTTTGGTTGCTTGCTCCTCCCGCCTGCGGCAAGCGTATCACTGCATTGAGCAGAGTGCACTTGGCTATGCGGGTAGAAATTGAGGGAGAGGAGAATAACTGGAGCGCGCGGAGACGTACGCCAGAGAGCCGAGCTCCGACTGGAATGATTTAGGGAGTACACTCTAATAAATATCTGCGCGTTTACTTACCCGCAGAACACTCGAAGAGTCAATCTCTGCGATCTACGTAATCAGCTCAGCGAATGATGAGGCGGATCATCTTTTTCGGACCTAAAAATGAAGTCTGCGCTGTGGCATTACGCAATGCAAAGCGTCATGCTTGCATTGCGTAATGCCACCGCGCAGACTTCATTTTGAAGTCTAAGCAGATGTTCCACCATATCATTCGCTGAGCTGATTTCGTAGATCGCAGAGATTGGCCTTTCGAGTGTTTTGCGGGTAAGTAGACGCGCAGGCATTCCTTAGAGTGTAGACGCAAAGCTATAGCTGCCTTTGCCTCTTCCCACCGTTCGTACGCGTTCGAACTCGCGCTCTCGTCTCCTCCTCTCCCTCGGTGTCTACCCGTATAGTCAATGAGAGCTTAAAGACCGACGACCAGTTCGCGCTTTCCACTTTTCTCTCGCTTCCTCCTCTACCCCCTTCTACTCTGTCCGCCGTTGCCTGTTTCCTTCTCCCCCATGGCGAGGAGGATCTTCTGCCTTGCAGAATCTTGAGTCTGGTCGTCGGCCTTTAAGAAAGACAGGACTCATTATGCTCACGCTTGGTGATTTGTGATTGGTTGTTCGGCCCTCTTATCGGCCAACGCCGCCATTTCATTGGCTGCGGAGTGATAAACGAGACGCTCCGCTCACGCCCCGCGTTACTCACGTGACTTGATCGCTTTGAACCCGGGTTGATCCGAGATGTGTTGATTCCCCGCCAGGAACTTCCACGTATGGAACGAGGTGTGGATGACCCGGCCCGATCTCGAGCCTGGGGACTATTCCGGCTGGCAGGCGATCGACTCCACGCCGCAAGAGGCGTCCGACGGTGGGCTCCTTTGTTTCTCGACGGTAACTCGGCGTCGAGTGCTTCGAGCTTGGGTTTGCCACGTCCCTATTGAGGACAGGGCCACGCGCTGTCGTTCTCCATAATGACATGGCTTGTCCTCGTCCCGATCGTCTCATTGTAGCTGGAAGCTAGCCTACGGGATCGCATCATATCACCCCGGCCAGAGTAAAAAAGGAAGCAATAGCGAAGTGACGAACACGAATCAACCAACGCGCATTTTCGTTCATAAAACCAATCACGCACAGAAAAAGACAAAAAAAAAGTGAAAGCCGTTTACAACTCCCTGTAACACCGAATTAGAGCGCAGCTCTTGAGGAGGAGGAGGGAAGGGTACTGGGGGGGTCACGTGACCTTGGGGGGTCACGTGACGATGCCGATGATGTCATCAGTGACGTCACTGATGACGTCATCAGTGACGATGACGATGCGGACTCCGATGACGTCATCAGCGATGATGACGATGACGATGCGGATGTCGGTGACGTCATCAGTGACGTCACTGATGACGTCTTCTGTGATGATGACGATGACGATGCGGATGCCGGTGACGTCATCAGTGACGTGACTGATGACGTCATCAGTGATGATGACGATGCGGATGCCGGTGAGGTCATCAGTGACGTCGATGACGATGCGGACGCCGGTGACGTCATCAGTGACGATGACGTCATCGGGGAGGTCACGTGACCTCGGCGGGGGTCACGTGACCCTGGGGTGGTCACGTGACCTGGGGGTGTCACGTGACTTCGGGGGTCACGTGACCTGGGTGGTCACGTGACTTCAGGGGGGTCACGTGACTTTTGGGTGTCACGTGACCTTGGGGGTCACGTGACCCTGGGGGAGGGGTCACGTGACCTTGGGGTGACCTTGGGGGTCACGTGACCTTGGGATGACCTCGGGGGCCACGTGACCTTGGGATGACCTTGGTTACGCCGACGCCGACGCCGACGCCGACGCCGCTCAAGCCGGGAACGGGCCCCTAAGAGCTGCGCTCTAAAAAAACACATAGGATCGCAGCGCATTTACCGTGTGATTGGTTTACGCTCTAAAAAAAGCCCGTGCGTGTACTTTCTAGCGCACAACACACGGAGAGGCAATCACCGAAACTTACGGAAGCAGCTCAGCGAATGACGACGCCGAAACATATGCTTAGACCAAAAAGCGCAGTCTGAAATGAGACATTAAACAACGCAAAACGTAACGCTTGCATTGCTTAATGTCACAACTCAGACAGCGTTTTGTAGTCTAAACTTATGTTAGGCATCATCATTCGCTGAGCTGCTTCCGTAAGTTGCGGCGATTGGCTTTGCGAGTGTTGTGTGGAAAAGTAGACGCACGGGCTTTTTTTAGAGTGTAGTCGGTGATATACCCTATCCGCAAAAAGAACTAGTGATGTGACGAAGCACTTTTGGCGGTGCTTATTGTTTGTCTCCATCGAGTCGGACTTCGAGTGAAACCAAGTATGTACGGGGAGGAAACCGGTTTCGCACGCCTCAAAGCTGGACATTTCCAGGAAAGACGTCATTCACTCTAATAAAAAATCTGTGCGTCTACTTTCCCGCACAACACTCGGAGAGCCAATCAGCGCAACTTACGGAGGCAACTCAGCGAATGACGATGCCGAAAACATATGTTTAGACCAAAAAACGCAGTCTGAGTTGTGACATTAAGCAATGCAAAACGCCACGCTGTCACAACTCAGTCTGCGTTTTTTGGTCTACACAGATGTTTCGGCATCGCCATTCGCTGAGCTGCCTCCGTAGGTTGAGGTGATTGACACTCCGAGTGTTTTGCGGGATAGTAGACGCACAGACTTTTTTTAGAGTGTTGGTGGCGAATCTATTTTTTCCAAATTGAAGCGGGTAATATTAGATAAGCCAAAATATGAAAAGTAATAGACAGTTTTAGTATAGCTTTGCTGCATCTTACGTACGAAATACGCAATAGTATAGCGTACGCTAAAAATGACCTGCTCGGACCGAATTTAGTTGTGCGTTACGTTTTCGAGTGAACACCGCGCATGATCTTGCTTAAATTTGCTCGAGCCGTAGAATTCCGCGTGCTTATAGCGCAACCATGCTCCTGGAAAGAAATATTGAAAAAGAAAAAGTCTCCAATCATTTTATTTCAGATTAAACCAAGCCACACCTGCCTCGTCAAGCGCGCTTTTCTGCGGGGTACAGAGGCTACGAGTACGAGTGCGTAGCCAAATTCGATCACGGAGCCTCCGTCAGTCGTCCCGTGGAAACGGCACCTTTTATCAATGCTATCGCAAAATGAATTTCATGACCCTGATGTCCAGTGCATAGCGAGAACTTCGGCGATTTCTTTTAGAGTCGTTCGTCCGTCGGCGATGAACTGTGGGGATAGGCTTAGCGTTGAGCAGATCGCAGCGTCGACGCACACTGCGAGCGGCGAACATTTCCACTGTGCACTCCTTCAGCTGCAGGGCGATCTGAATCGACCGCGGTAGGTCCCAGAAAGAATCGCTGAGCTGAACACCACGCAATTTCACGTAACACAGAACTTCGAAAACACCACGTCGCCCTTGCTGCGCGCCAGTCGAGGCAACCGCCATCTTGAAACTGGCGCTCTCGTTGGGTCCGAGATCTCTCGAGAGCTTCCCGCAAGGCCCGCTAGCCAGCAACACAAAATCCCCAGCGTTGCGTGCGTACGCAATACGCTAGCCCTTCTATTGCGTTCTGCGCATGCGCACTCACGACCCGCAATCTCCTTGCGTACGCAAAGCTATAGCGTACGGTCCACTAAAACTGTCTAATGTTTCGGGTGCAACAACGAACGTGCGCGGAGAGCAAGTCGTCTGGTCCTTGCGCAGAGGTTGCGGTGACGTCCGAACGACACCGCGCTCTGATTGGCTTTGAGGGAGAGGATAGTGGGCAGACCTGATGGCTGAGTGCTAGGTGCCTCGAGGTCTACCCGCAATCCTTCCAGTCGGAGTCAAGCAGAGATCGGCGTTCTGAAGTCACCGCAACCCTCGCGCGAGAAGCAGACGAGCTTGCGCTCCGCACCTATTCCTCGTGCATGCAACATAGCGAACGGCGTGAGAGAATACATTGGTACAGTGGCATCATCTGTCGTGTTACCCTGGAACACTTATCCCGATACGCGTATCATTAGATTGAAATGCTTTCCAGTATATTTGAGAGTTCAAATCTCCGCCCTATCCGTGTGAAATGCTCGCCTAGCTAGAACATCGTCATAGAACATCGTCGATCACACCGGCCAAAGAACGATGTGTAAATATACGCCGATCCGAAGTGTTCCAGTGGTACCCGATAGATGGTGCCAGTGTAAGCGGTTGCAACGCAGTGGATCTAACTGAAGCACAAATGTATGAACCAGGCATCACGTAACCGCAAGAAAACATGGTTGCCTGAGTCCGTAGAGATTCTAATCACGTGGCAGTGCGCAAAAAGGCCTTCTCATATTTTTTTAGGTTACCTTTTATGTTTTTATGTTCACTGAGAGCTTTAAAGGGTCCATGAAATGAATTTTGGTCTCGGATAAATTGGGATTTTACTAATCGCATATCGTTTAGCGGGCCAAAAGAAAACTATAGTATACACGAGGGTAGAAATCATAAATCCTACTTTTCGGTACAAAATTTTTAAAATTATAACGGACTATTTCTTACCTCCTTTCCTTCGAACGTTCTCCGCCTTTTCACTGTGATGCATCCGCGGTGCCCATGCACGTCAGTCGAGCCCAGCTCACGCATTAAACACAAGCACTGCGTCACTCAGACTTATGCGCTCGTCAACAATAAATCCGTCGACGAATCTTTGAATTGGCGTTCGCGGCGCACGTTCTGTGGTTTCGACCACACGGGCGGAAACACCCGACAATCTTTACAGCGGATAAAACGGGTCTGTGCGAACGATTTGACGACACGGTGCCGCGAACACAACAGGTGTGCTCCGCTGCGGACCAGCCAGCGTGAAGGCCATCAAGAGGGCGGAGATCCTGAAACCCTACGACGGCACCTTCATCTTCGCCGAAGTGAATGCGGATGAAATCTACTGGCGGTATCAAGGACCCATGCAGCCACTGAAACTGATATCAAAAACGACCGACCAGTAGGCACCGTTTTTATTCCCCTTTAATCCTGGAAATGTGCCTACAGCTCGCTTTGCGGCTCATTGTGAACATCGTACTGGGGCAAAATTTCATTATATAGTTGCTATAATTTAGTTGCTTTTTAGATTAATTTATATTTGTAATTCATTACTTTTGACTAGAATGAATTTCCTAATTCAATTACATTTCAGCCTCAGTAATTGCGAGAAATTTAAGCTACAATTAGAACTGCTTTTTATATCGTGATGTCGTCACGCTGGAGCTTCGTTTTATCGACTCATTCACAGGCGAAACTACCTCAGAGAGTTCGCTTTATTGCCCTTCTGTCAACTCGTGGCGCTTAGAAAAAACTGCGCCAGGGTGCTGACCATGGGCGCTCGCTCAGCTGAGCAACAGCCGAAGCCATAGTGCCCGTAGAAGGGCACATAAGATGCACAGAAGGCGATATAATTAACCTTTCATTCTCAGGATTGAGATAAAAACCGAAATGATGCGACTGGGATGTCTATCTTTAATATCTGATCACGACTATACCTCGGTCATTTTCAAAATAATTAAGAGTTCGAGCCTCCATGAGATTCTCTCAGTGCCTACTAACACTAATACTTTATATCGCTTTTACTTTGAACTGTCATGCCAAAACGAACACTATCAATCTTAATGGCGTTGAAAAGTAAGAAAAGCCCGACTCGTATCATACTCTGAACTCAGCTGTACCTATCATACCTGTAGTCACGTAGGCAAAACAAAAGCACAGAATCTGATGAATTTAAATAACCATGTAGTGAATCCTGGGGTGGACAGACAAGGAAATGGCAAAGTTAAATCTCAGAGCACAATAATAATATTGCATCAACATCACTGAAGTCGGGTAGACCTCTCAAAAGAAACTGATTACGAAGTAATTGCATTACTTTTAGGAAGTAATGCACAGTTGTAATTAGTCACCTTTTGTACGCTAGTAATTCTAATTCTAATCAACTACTTTTGGTACGTACACGAATTGTAATTCAGGTATATTTCTGAAGTCGCCCAAGCCCGTTTAACAGCCTTCTTTGTAGCGTATCATTCCGAAAACCTGACCGAGAGCGCGATCCTTGAACCTTCACTTGCAGAATAGGACGTTCCATCAGCACAAAGGCTGCCGGCCGATTCGAGCGGGAAGACATAACTGACAACTACAAGTATCCCGAAAGTAAGCATTCGACTCCTGTTGCCAACTTCACGCGGGAAGACCACGTGGTTCTCACGGATGAACGTTAAGGGCACCCTTTGTAACGGGCGGTAGCTTGCGCCACCTAACCTAAGTCTAAAAAACAACCGCATCTCCACGTGGTGAATGATGTTGATTGGGGCGAAGCTCTGAAGGTGCTTGTCTGCGTAGACGCTGAGCTGCTGCATGCCGAGCCTTTCGTTCGTTTTCATCCATGTGACGCTGCGGTCAAATGCTCAAATGCGTATATAACCACGTTCCATACCACACATTCTCTTTCTGACATGGATGAAAACGAACGAAAGGCTCGGCATGCTGCGGCTCACCGTCTACGCAGACAAGCACCACCAGAGCTTCGCCCCAATCAACATCATTCACTACCTGGAGATGCGTTTTTTTTTTTTCTTTTTTTTGCCCTACACGAGCACCCGACGCCGGACATCGGACGGACGTACGGACATGGCTAGCACCCAAGGAGCTTCGCCCCTAAAAGACAAACATATGATTCCCACGCGCTTCAACATACGATGTTGAAGCGCCTCAATGTTGCTTGCTGGCCACCGCCACCATTCTTTTTCCTGAGATGTGTCGACTTTGTATGTTGTTGACGTTGGCGCACATATTCGTCAACCTACTTTACGAAACGCGGGACCTTACGTGTGCTTAAAGTTATTTCGCGTCATTTCACAACTGGTAATGCCCTGCGTAATATCTCATAAACGGCTGCATGTACAGGGTGTCACAAAAGAAACTTTACACAATCTTTTTTTACCGCAAAAATAAACTAGGTATCGCGGAACGCTCATTCTCCGCCCAAAGGTAGCCCTAGAGGTCACAACCAGATGCTAAAGTTTCAGCCCGATCCCATAACTTGATCAAAAATTACAAGTGATTTTCTGAAAATTTCAATGGGAAAATGGCGGCCGACGGAGTTTTTGAATACATGGGGCTCTATGGGCACCAAAAACCGAAAACGGGCAAAAATGGGCTCCATTTTCTCATTGAAATTTTCAGAAAATCACTTATAACTTTTGAATAAGGTATCGGATCGGGCTGAAACTTTGGCATCTGGTTGTGACCTCTAGCTCTACCTTTAGGCGGAGAATGAGCGCTCCGCGATGCCTAGTTTATTTTAGCGGTAAAAAAGACCGTGTAATTTTTTATTTTTTTATTTTCACATGTTATCCCCGCTCTGGGAGGGCCGCCAGCCCAGCAACATTGAATCTCTTTAGTTGAAGTCGTAACACCGCTCCGTCTGCCGGGAGGCTAATGGAGTTTTTTCAGTGGGATAATATGGCTACGCAGGCATCCTACCCAGGGTGTACTGGAAGGGTGGTTGTGTTCTGAACGAGCTCGAAGTCCTACGAGAGGCAGCCGGGCCTCGCTGTCATTATTGTCCAGTATTGACGTTTTAGAGCTCCAAGGCTCCCGATGAGCAGATCTAAAAACGTGGCTCCGAGCGTCGACAGTCCGGCGGATGCTCGTTGAGCGTGCTAGACGTTTAATGGTAGAAGTCCCTTTGAGCGCTGTTGTGTGCTGACTTCTGTGATATCAGTGGTAGTAGAACGCCTGTCTGCAAGCAGACGTTGAAGATGGGGTCGCTGTAGTGTTGTATGTATAGCGCATCCACACCAAGCGGCTCAATGAACTATGGACGTTGGGAACGCTATCTTGCCTTATCGACTTCAAAAGCGCCGAATATTCCAACTTATCATAGTATGCCGTCATCGTTTAATCGTGCCGCGGGGACTCGTATCAGATGCTGGTTACGCATCGCCATTTTTGACTCATGGCGCTTCTCACACGCGATGCCGCGCAAGCTATTGGTCTGCTGTCGCGTGTGAGCAAGTGTGTATCACTGACAATTGTGGGAAGAGGGATTAGATAAATTCTTCAGAGAGAGGGAGAGAGAGAGAGTTCTTATTCAGTTCACGTCCGTCCATAAATGAGAGCCCCGCCGCCCATCTCATCTCCTCCTCTCTCTCAGTCTCTACCTGTATTGGTCTACACTGGCGGCCGGCGCCGCCGGCGATGCCCTGCTAGCTCAAGTGTATCCCTTCGTGCACCGCCTTGATGGCACTTGTGTACTGAATGGTATAGTGCCTGGAACGCGTCTCCGACCGGTGTAGTCCCGAAAGTGCCCGAAGTGGTCCCGAAGTGCCAACAAATGACGTCCCAAAAGCCGGGGGTGTCATGCTGTCGGATGTCGTGATCCTGGCGGTTGGTCGTAGAAATGCTGGCAAAAAGCTCGAGCAAACGCCAGTGTCGCTGTTGTCGTGGCGTCTCAACGCCTGGCTGCCGAAGCTTCAGTGGACTGCCACACTGGAGAGCGACCTGCAGCACAACAGGCGTTTGCCACAAACAATCGATCTGCGAGAGCATGACGCTTGTATGACGTCATCAGGCGGAAATCGAGGGACCGCTTTTTATGGATGCGGTAAACACAGGAGTCGGAGACGCGTTCCAGGCACCCTACCGGATAGGAGTGGTCCAGCGCTTCATCGACTTCTGCTTCGGGCTCTCCCCGCAGTGTAGTATTGCCCGTACTCGCAGGTACGGCTGAAGAGCGGAACGCGATGCTCAAGGCACTGCGCAAGTGCAACCACGCCTATTCTCGGTACTACCTTAATGACGATATGGAGGACGTGGGCTTCGACTTCGAGCTTGTCGACGACATCGTGATCGGATCGCCTTTCACAGTACGTGCCTCTTCCTCGCATGTATATGCATATACCAGAGGTGACGAACAGATGCCCCACAGAGTGCTAGATTGACGAATGGCCTACCATACAAAGCATGATAGATATCCAGATCAGTTGGCATTTTGAATAGAACAGTATCTCCTTCCCACCTGAATCAAGTGACAACTCCATCGCAGCCTCGTACACTCGCCTCTTTATTACTGTCTCTTAGCTTGAGTTTCTACCGAAAAAGCAACCCTGATAACATTGTAATTGTTAAAAAAACAGCAGTAAGCTGCATAAAAAAACTGCCATTAGAGAACATCGCTTCATTTTCCAAAGTACTGCGTCTTGTGTTTGCTCATTGATTGCGCCTGGCTATTCCTGTTGTTAGTGCTCTCTGTTTTCTTCAATTATCAAGTCCTTTTTTTGTAGTGTTTTTCAAAATGTACTGCTTTTACAACTTGTATCAACACGCGAAATGCAAATGTGCCACCTTTAGTCATCCTGCTTTTTCCCTTTTTACTTATTGTTTCTTTGCATTTTTTATGTTCTACCCCCTAAAAAGGGGCCAGTCATACAAGGCCTACAATGAGAAGGTAGTAGTATCAGTAAATAAATAAATGAATAAACGACTCTAAAAAATATTGAACGAGATTCACTCTAAAAAGAGCCCGTGCGTCTACTTTCCCGCACGACACACGACACCAAAAAACGCAGTCTGAGTTGTGACATTAAGCAATACAAAACGTCACGCTTGCATTGCTTAATGTCAAAACTCAGGCTGCGTTTTTTGGTCTCAACATATGTTTCGGCATCGTTATTCGCTGAGCTGCCTCCGTAAGTTGCGGCAATTGGCTCTCCGAGTGTAGTGCGGGAAAGTAGGCGCACGGGCTTTTTTTCGAGTGTACATCCACCCTTGATAGTATCGCGATACCAGGAATGCACCCGAAAATGTATTTCGATACAAAAATACAAAATACATTTGAAAAATTGTATGGCGATACAGAGATATAAATATAAAATGTATTTCTAAAATAGTATCGCGATGCCTTTGTATCGCGATACTGCCCATCTATGAGGATTCGTAGTTTTAAATGTGATTTGACTTATTACCTTTTGTAATTAAGAAAATGCGACCAGGGCGACCTAGAAAAGCTGGTTGCGTAAGTACAGGGACCCGTGTTTCTCATTGCAGGTTAAATTGAAGGTGACGAACAAGAGCCCGACGAAGAACTACACGGCGCATGTTATCATACGGGTGGAAGCCGTCCATTATACCGGCAATAAGAAAAAGCAGGTCAAGGACGAGAGTTACGAGGTTCATCTCAAGCCCAACTCAAGTATGTCCCACTCTTAGGTCATTTACGTCATTTCTCTTTATTGCCATTATGTTTCCCGTTAATAGGCCGTCAGCAAAGTGCCAATTCTACCCCCTCCTAAGCGCTTGAATTCTTCGCGCCTTTCACTTTCGAAAAAAAAAGCCGTGGGCGGCCATGCCGGTGAACCGTTTGCGCCTTTTCATTTATTTGTTTGTATATGCTTACAATTATTCATTTGTGTAGATGCTAATTGAGGTGAATCTTAGAAGCATGACACGCGTGGCTACGCCCTCGTCTATACTCAAGAACCATGATTGTAGATACCAGGAAAACACTTGCTCCGCTCATGTAGAAAAACTTAAGGCGAAGGTATAAATTCTCGTAAGAGTTCTAAACCGGAGTACGTCACGTGAAACTGTTGTTTATGAAAGAAGCGACGTACACGTGGCATTTCCCGTGTTTACGGAGTGTCGTTTACCATACTATGCGCAGTTTTCTACTCTATAAGGTGACTTCTCGTAAACATTAATTGGTCCACTGAGAACCTGAAGCACAGGGCATACGCCCAACATGGCGTCACAGTAAGCGCGTATAGTTCCGTCAGAGTCCAGCAACGTGATGGTGGCGTTGCTCGTGCGGTGTACTTCCTTGGAAATAAGGTCTTTTCGAATGCATTTTTCAGAGGAGGAGGTGGGTATGTTGGTGACTTATGAGGAGTACGAGAAGGCCCTTTTGGATCAAGCCCTGTTCAACATCTCCACTCTGGCCACGATAAAGGAAACTAAATTCGAGTATTTTGCCCAAGACGACTTCAGGGTTCGCATGCCTGACGTCAAGATTGAGGTAACCTTTCTGTGTCTTCCTGCAGCTTAACATCTTCATTCTGGGTTGACTTGGGAGCTTTTTGCTTTGTTCCCAATTCTCCATTTTCCCAAGTGTCAGTTCGAAAGCTTTTGGAACGGATGAATGTGTCGGGCCCTTGAGTGAGGTGCTCGTGCCCTCGCTCGGTGTCGCGGCCGCACCCTAGCGGACACCTAAGCCTCTCCATCCGGCGGAAAAGGGTTCCACTCTTTCCAAATTGCAAATTGGTTAGCCGAGAACAACAACAAAAATTGCTCTTTACTAGTTGGACTAAACGGGCTGTTTTACTCAAGAGTCGTCCGACTCAAATTCTTTTCTGCTAAAACACGAGTGTTGGGATCGTTCTTAACACTGTGGTGACTGGAACGTTTGCAGACTTCACTATACTGAAAAGACTGTGAGTGTGCAGGCGAGCTGGCCGTAGCTAATGATGACGTGTAACACTGAGACTGTTGTGCAGAAAATGAGACGTTCCCTTCTGTGTCTGTTCCTTCGACTAAAAGCTTTCCTTTTCTACAGCACAGTCTCATGTGTTAAATGACATGATTCACAATACTGCGCGTTCCTGGACTAGGTACTTTTCACTTGTTCACCCAAGCGTCCGAAGATCTGTCGTCACAACGTAGCCATATTTGCAAGGACAATGCAGGATCTCAAGAGTTCTGCTAAGCTATAGTTGAGGGAGGAACGGGAATGAATGCGTAGCTTTATAATGCGCCCTTTTTGCGCTAGTTCTCGTGAAAACCTGCGTGTTACAGAGCTGACATAGACAGGCAATTAAGTTGGCCGGTGACTTATAGGGTACCGTGTCCTACTTGTGAAATCAGCTTAAAAGGGTAGCTTTGAAGTCTGTGTGCAACAAACTTATACGCTAATCAGCTTGCGTGCCTGTTTAACTCTCAATAAAACGGGCTCAATGACGATCCTACCACGCAAAAGCTAGTCGTCTAGTATAGACTCCAGATTTTAAGTAGATGACGCCCACTCAGATCGGGTGCAAACGTAAACGAACGCAAAAAGTGAATCTCGGGAATTCGATGTGCGAACCGTGATTTCGCTGAAACTCGTGTCTAAGGTCACATTGCGACGGCGACGACAACTGGGCCCTTTCTCTTGTCCGCAGATCGAGGGAGAACCATCCGTGAATAAGCAGCTCAACGTGCGAGCAAGTTTCAAGAACCCTCTCCCGAAGCCGCTCAACAAAGCTTACTTCGTTATCGAAGGGCCAGGACTCTCGAAGCCGCTGCGTCTTCTGCCCCACAAACAGTAAGGAAGTGCAGTGCACCCGCGTCAATTGTTGTTGTTGGTGTCGTTGTTCTTGTTTTTTCTTCTTCTTTTTTTTTTTTTTTTGGGGGGGGGGTGTTGCCACGTCTTTTTTGTCGCAGGTCATCTCTCCAAAAAAAGAAAAAAAAAACAACATTGAACGTATTTTGGAACGTTTTAGTACTTAGTTCCCCGATTAAAAAACAAACAAGCTGAACTTTGACTAGCGCACGTTCAAACTTCTTTGGTTTATTTTTTTTTTCCTTCTAGAAATTGCAGTTCTTGTTAGTATACCTTCTGCTACATTACCCAAGCACCAAGGAGCATTCTGCGAGTATAGTTACACGCGCTGCACGTGCTGGCGTCAGCATGCAGTAGTAACTTTTCTAAAGCAAATGCCTAAAACAAATCGCATCTTGCACGCGCGTTCGTCAACGCTTTATTTTGGTGTTTTACTCCGAATCTTTTATACGGGGAAGGCGAGCTCATGTGGCGCGTGTACATTTACTCCCAGCATTCTCCTTGATGCTTGGGGAATTTGGCAATAGGTGTATTCCCATCCACTGACTTTCGGCGGTGTCTCGGGCTTGCTTTGGCTGTACCTGCACTTATCGGTTATGTCTATGAGACACGAAGTGTTTTCAAAACCAGATCATGCATACCCTGGCGTTGCATGTGTGTATAGACAGTGGACCGTTAGTCTGTCTCAAGGGCGTCTCGCGTCTCCACTGTAAATGAACAATTTCGTGAGTGCAGTAGAACTGCAAGCCTGGGGTCTTTAACGTGTGTCACGCTGAATTGTTTAGACGACCGCACGCCGGTATACGATGCTCATCCAGATCACGACATGCACCGGTGGGATTTAAATCTAGGATTCCTGGGCCCTAGAGCTCAGCTTGAGCTCCATCGCTGCGCGGTCTCAGTGTAGGAACTTACTCTTGAAAGAGAAGTAGAATTTTATTAACCGTGAAATGAAATGTTCCCTCGTGGTAGCTCGTGCGGTTGAAGTATCCTTAGTGCCCGTGATCCTATGGCCTCGCTCGTGTGGTATATCGACAGCGTGGACTGCCTGGCAGTCACCTTCTGTGTGAGCACGAACAAATCGTCCCGTTGCCCATAAGGTAGAATTAATAGACAAAATCATGCGTGTTCGTACTATTGCGTCTTGTACTCGAGGCTAATACAGATATTATCGGTCGAAATGCACAAAGAAACTTTACCCGAAACAGCCCACTCAGTGTCGGTGGTCCCATAACCAGCTCTCACCAGCCTCCCCCTTCCCATAGCCGTAGACCATGATATCACCCTCTCCTCACATCCCCACCACCTACTTTCACCCTCCACCTACCTCATGCCCCCTTGTCCTCCTTCCTTTTCCCCCCAACTCTCTTTTTCCCTTGATCCTCTACCCACCCCATGTTTCTAACCAACCTCACTCTTCCCCTGGACCCCTCACCTTTCTCCCGCTTCTGCGTACTCTTCTAGACCCCACCCACGATGTAGGAAGACCACACCCACTTCCCCCTCTACAACGCTCCAACCATACTTTCCTCCCCATATAACGTCCTCCCTCCTTCCCCCGCGGTGAAAGGTATTTTTCATTTGGTACTCCTGATTAAAACAAACGCGCGCGCCTCTAGCGGCGCGAGCGGCGCCTCGCGTGCGTGTTAAAGTTTAGGCAAAAGGCGCGGCGTCCCGCACCAACAACACATTTGGATGCCCAGTTGTCAACACCCGTTTCAGTTCGCGTTTTTTTCTTTTCGTTGTTTTAATAATGTTCGTGCTTCTCCGTCAAAGTGAGGCGGAAAGGGTTCATTACAGCGAAAAGGTAAAAGAGGCACAGACCTCTTCTATCCAAAACTTGTGTGTTTAAGGAACTCACTGCTCTCGAAATGTATTTAATGCGCCTTGTACTTGCTGCGCGTTTCCTGCCCTCTGTCGTGGGTAGGTACCTTTAATGTATATAAACCAAAATTATGTTATAAACAAACGTGTTGTATGTGTTTGTATTATGCCAAGAGATCAATGTGCTAATGTCAGGGTCGGTTGAAGAAATTCCAAGGTGTTCGGTTGAGAATCTGTCCTGCATTCTGCCATTGACGACAAGCACATACAAAACATTTTTTGTAATACATTGTTTCATTATTTGTAGCAAATACCGAAGCAGGAGAAAATTGGTAAAACTTTAGGTTCAAGGGCACCCCTCGCGACGATTTTCATTCAGTGAAGCGACCCTCGAACAAGCGCGGGCCCCTTTTTGCGCGAAAACCACAGTTTGAGAACCCTCTTATGTGACGACTTGCCCTATCACCAGATGACCTGCTACGAATAGACCGATCTCACCAAGCGTTCCACGCATGCGTGACGCTGCCATAACTGTAGTTCGTAGGAGGCAGACACCAGGGCCGGCTTGCTAGAACAGCGTCTCAGCTGAGACTGGGTGAAAGAAAGCACTGCAAAGACTGGGGCGCTCGAGCGTCTTGAGACGCAGCTTGAGTCCCGCGCAGCTCGTGCGCTGGCTTTGGCAGTGCTTTCTTTAACCCAGTCTCAGCTGAGACGCTGTTTCTAGCAAGCCGGCCCAGTTCACGAGACAGCTCATGCCGCCTCGTGCTCTGCTCGCGCAGACCTCCAGCAGGGTTGTCGCGCGTGCAGAAAGACTACAGCTCCCACGATGCATTTCGGCAGCGATGGCGTACTCGAACTAGCTGGTGAGATCAGTCTATTGTCTTTCGACGAACGGTCCTACAGCCCACTCTAGGTTCATTCAGTGGCGGATGACGGGTCCTGGCAATATGATCCCGGAAAAAAGTGGTCGCTCATTGCAACATACTGCAAGTGAGATGGCCGGCGGTAGCCGTCATCTCATAGGCAGAGAAGGAGAACAAGAGGGTGGCAGCTGAGTGGTGCGAGCGAGGAGGAGGTGGCGAAGGAAGGTGGACAGAGCGAGGAGAAGGCCAAGAGTAAAGGTCGAAGTCCGCGAACGCACGATAACGCAAGAAAGAGAGAAAACGGAAGGAGGGGGATGGAAGAGAGAGATGACCGAGAATGAGGTGGTTTGGGAGCGGGAAGGAAGAGGAAGATAAAGGGGAGAAGAACCGGGCGGAGCAAGGAGGAGAGGAAGCTGGGTAGAAGAGGGGACGGAGGAGAGACGAACGAGGGGAGGAAGATTGGACGGAGGGAAGGGGGGCCCGAAGGGAGAGAGCAAGGTGTGAACGGGAATGGGAAAGCAGAGGAGGAGGAGCGGCCAAGGGTCCAAGACTCCCAATTCAAGATCAAAGGTCAAGACCATATTATCCGGGACCATAATGTCCGGGATCATTATACGGCTACCGCCGTATAATGATCCCAGACAGTATGGTCCCGGATAATATGATCCCGGAGGGGGTGGGCCCAAGTGCTAACCGGGACAAAATGGTCCCAGTCAAAGTTTCGGCATTGTTTTCCTGATCTTCGGCGTTTTTTGTTTTTTTTTTTTTTGTTTCTATTTTTCCGATATTGAACATATCTAATCGAACATCTCAATATGGTATTACAAAACAGATATGAATTCCGAAACATTAGACGTTTATGTTTATTAAAAAATCCGAAACGTTAGACGTCTATGGATTGACGAAGCTGAAGGAAACAAACACAAACACATTCTGAAGAGCAAGTATCTGCAAGAGCATGCAACACAAACTTTCTAACATTCCTGCTGCTTTCTGTAGACTCAGGCAGCATGTAACTAATTTTAATGCATACAAATTTGCACTGTGATATATACACACTCTTCATTGGGTATCGGACATTGAATCAGAGGTCGTTCCATTCAACGAGGTGACATTTATGGGGATCGGTGCATCGGGAGCTTGTGCCCGCGGCGAGCACTTTGAACATTACTGCCGGCGTCAGCGCGGAGATTGTTGCCCGCTTGCCACACACTTCACGGAAAGCCGTTTCCTCGAATCGATCTACATCATTCGGACAAATGCCGTGAAGTCTAGCATTTTTGCGATGTCAGAAAGTTAATTAGTAGACCTTGGTATACAATTAAATGCAAAGGTGACAGCGAGCTCTACAAGAATGACGAAAATAATCCGTGAAGAAGGGGAACAAGAGGGACAAAGGACAAACACAAATCTCTAAACAAAGCTAGTGACTGGTGCGCGACCGAAAAAGCCCGCCTCGTCCGGGTATCGAACCCGGGACCTCTCCATTTCCACTGGAGCGCTCTACCATCTGAGCTAACCCCATGCTTCTACTTGCCCGCACAACACTCGTAGAGACAATCAGCGGAACTTACGGAGGCAGTTCAGCCAACGACGAGGCCGAAACATATGTTTAGACCAAAAAACACAGTCTGAGTTGTGACATTAAGCAATGCAAAACGTCACGCTTGCATTGCTTAATGTCACAACCCAGACTGCGTTTGTTGGTCTAAACATATGTTTCGGCATCGTCGTTCGCTGGGCTGCCTCCGTAAGTTGCGCCGATTGGTTCTCCGAGTGTGGCGCGGCAAAATAGACGGACGAGCTTTTTTTTAGAGTTTTACGATGCCCTAGCGAATAAATATCGCGCCGACAATGTTTTAAGTTTTAAGAGGACCTGCGCTAACTTCAAGAGGCAATTCAATTATTTTTTTCTAAAGTATTTTAATTGCTCTCTCATTACCTTGACCTCGGGTCATTTGTAGGGAAATGAAGGGTGGGGAGTACGGTAGGGGTGAATAGTGGTGCCGGAGCCGGGTCTTTAGACACATGTGAGAAAAAGAAATATCATGTGAGCTCGAACACTATGTTTCTGCGTATTATGTGTACATTGTTTGATTTCCTTAGTGTAAATAAAAATAATCACGCACTGAAACCAACGCGCTATAGTAACTTTTATATGAAATTACTGATATTTTCTAAATATAACCCGTCAAGATCTGAATCCTGGAATGACTCCTTGGAGAGCAGATTTTTTTTTCTGGATTGCCAGGTATAAGAATAGCGCCCGATTTTTCAAAAATATAAAAGGCGAAAACAACACCCCAAAGACATACCCTATTGAAATTGCGACAAGTAACTTCGTGCTGGTTTACGAGAGTGAAAAAAAAAAATGCATGCAAAATATGTAGACAAAAGTTAGAAATCTTCAGCACCGACGCGCAAAGCCTATTTAAATACGAAAAGAGGTTGTAATCTGCGGGTCAAAGTATATATAATAAAAGCGTGGGAAAAAGGATTTGTCTACGCCACGATGGTCCACAATACCGCCGAGATGCACCGAATCAGTAAGAACTTGAGTGGGTTCGAACCCAGGATAGCGGAATGCAAGCCCGGCGGGATAACCGCTGCGCCACACCGCAGACAGCGCGACGAGCTTAAACTATGATCCTGAGTGTGGTCTTTCGGTGCGGCTCGTGGAGGTATGTCGCGCAAAATGCGTTCAGACTTTTCTGAATGGTACTACCGTGAGTCAACCTGGCTGAAAGAGTCGGGCATAGTCCCGGCCTTCTTAATCAACGCTTACTTTTACAGCGGAGCTGTTAAGGGCTAGGTTCCCAAGGATCGTGTCCGGTATGTCGACACAAATCTGCCTGAACAGCTACCGCCATCTATAAGCGACGGCGGCAAGCACACAACCAGTATGGTTTCCGCGTCGCTCGTAGATGGCGCCAACTTTTCCAGTTATAATAGAAGAATGGATAGTTGGGCGCGTTGGTGGGAATTCATCGCAGGAAACAGCGCGAAAAACAGACGACGACGAAGAAGAAGCACACAGGGTATCGAGTACAGCTCCGCTGGTCTTCCTTCTTCACAAGAGTGGAAAGGCTGAACGATTTTATAATGCCTTATCCTTTTTTCAGGGGTCTGCCTAGATGAATTTTTTACCGCAAAGTTCGTCTCGCTGTCGAGATTTTCCACGTAAACTGAGCAGAATTGTAATCGTCTTTGGAACCACCTTGCACTCTTTTTTAGGCTGTTTTTTTTTTTTTGTTGTTGTTGTTGTTGTTGTTTTTTTTCTGTCGAGGCGATGTAAACGCCGATCAAGAACTCATGCCTGGAGGCGCTTTGATAACTGTGCGCTCATTTTTATTTTATGGCGAGAAAACGCATTTTCCTATTGAAATTTTACAAAGTACAGGCGTCTGGAGATAGATGGCGCAAGTGGAATATGTCCGTGATTGTTGGGAATGAAATTATCTTCATTTGATGTAGTAAGTTGTCGCATGTTGTACGTGTAATTAATTGTTTTTGGTGAAAGCCTCAGAAAAAAAATAATTACTTTTGTTTATATCGGATCCGCGTTAGCACTCTCAGAAAAGTCTGTGAGTACATTTTCCTGCAGAACACGGAAACAACCTGAGCTCATTGTCCCTGGGCACGTTGCATTATTCAGATCGAATCGTATCCTGCGCTTCGTCGTTCGCTGGGAATCATCCGTTCGCAGTGATTGGTTGCCTCCGTGTTCTGCGGAAAAAGAAACTCACGGATGTTTTTTAGAGTTAGTATCCATGCCTAAGAAAACAGGGGAATTACTTTTTGTTCACACCAAATCCGAGTGCGCAAGCATTGATGGCGTTCCTTGTTCCAGAAAAATTGCGCCTGGCGAGGAAGCGAGGGTGTCCTTCCAACTGGTCCCCGAGTCAGCCGGACCCAAGGCGATCATTGCCAAATTCTTCTCCAAAGAGCTGGACGACGTCGACGGCTTCAAGGCGGTGGACGTCACGGACACGACGTTCGCCCAACCCACGAATTCGATCACGGTCACAGCCACCGCTTGAACGGCACTTCCGTTCGAGGCGGTGAAAAATTTAGGGCGCACAGGATCTTCAGGTGGCAGCATGCGCAGATATGCGATACGAATACAATCAGTTATGAAGCGCTCCGAAAGAAGTGACGTCTTGAAGCTAACTCGCGAGTCAAATTCAACATAATATAAATGTTTGCGTCGTCGTTGTTTTTGTTGTGGCATTTAAACCGGTATCACTAGGACATGCTAGGGATGCGCCAACAATGAATGAGCTGTGACTGCGTTAATCACCTGCTGAGCTGAGTTTCATAACTTTCTTTAGGCTCGTGTTGTCGCTTAACTGATATAGTTTTTTCCTCTAGCTCGAAAGAGCGAGGAAGTGTGTGATAAATTCGCAGTGCCGGTATGCTTGTTCGGCAATGTGAAGTACAAGGCAAACATCTAATTGACGCTGAGTCTCGTCATGGAAAATAAAAGCCAACAAAGGAAACGTTTCCGAAACTTCGCATTTACACACTCGTCATTATTGAAATGAGGCAATAAAGTGCCACACCTGGTACTGCCTTGACATGTCTTGGACTTGAATGATGCAAACTTGGATAATTTTGCGTGTCGGAGCAAGACCAGACTGGACAAGCGCGCTAATACCGCCTATGGCCGCATTGAGGCGCTGTAAATAAATGTTCCGCCTTCAGCGCGAGCTTTCTGCCCTTGGTAATACAAGTGTGAACGCGCAGGCACGCGCAACCAAAGCGCTGCGGAAGCCAGCAAGCTCGCGCTCAAGGCGGAGCTTCCAGTCGCAGCATAAAGGCGAACGGAATGTAGTTACGCCCGTACCTCCAGATAACTTAAATGAAGAGGAACTTAGGTCCTAACCAGTTCTATCATTCAATAAGCATTTATTACTACTGATTAATTGGTTGGAAAGCCATTCTGTCCCATATTGCGCGCCGAGTTGGAAACGCATCTTCACGTGGACCATAGCAGTGGCATGGCCGGAAATCATTATTTACGGATCGGGGGGGGGGGGGGGGGGGGGGGGGGGGGGGCGAGGCATTTCCTGGCGTGTGCAGTCTTCAAAAAACAATAGGGAGTTCTAGAATAGGGGGCCTTTAAGTCATAGGGGGACAAGAGCGCGGCGATGCTCGCGCTGCCGGCTTAGAGAACAGGGGTTTCAATACGCAGAGTGGCACGCTTGCGTTTCTCGCTTGCAGCGCCAGTACGGCTAACAAGCGAAATCAATAAAGTGAAAAATAAACACATGATTTATTTATTTATTTATTTATTTGCTGATACTTCCAGCATTTTGTAGAACACCCAGGCATGAGGTGTACAAAAACAATATTCAAAAACAAGCGGAAGCAGTGCAAACAAACAGACAGAGCCACTATCGTATTTACTCGAGTAATAGCCGCACTATTTATGAACAAAGCCTTTGCGTCTGCTTTCCCGCAGAACACACACACAGCCAACAACCAATCATCGCGTTGACCATAAATAAAATAGCGAATAACTAGATCGAGAACACGATTCTCCATACAAATGCAATCGTCATAGATGGTATCTTCGCGCGAAGACGTTATCTCTGTCCTGTAAACCGCTAGAATCATGCTGTCGACCGCGGTGATTGGTTATCCGCGTGCACCGCGGAAAAGAGAACTCTCGGGTTTTCTTCATAAACAGTGCGGCTATTACTCGAGTAAATACGGTACTCAACAAAGTGCGAGAGTAGTGCTTCTCTAAAAGTATCTAATGATCTCAAATTTACAACACTTTCAGGAAGCTTATTCCACTCACACGTGGTTCTAGGAAAAAGGATGCTTTAAACAATGTGGTTCGACACAATGGTTCGACAAGTGTTAATTGGTGTTTGCCTCTTGTGGACCTTTTTTCGTTAAATGAATTGTAATCACAAAGACGCAGTCGCACATGACCTTGTATCATAGAAAGAAACTTCAGCCGTTCTGTTTTTCTTCGGGTTGCTAAATCACTCAATTCCGTTCTTGGGTACAAATCTGAAACGGATGACATGAAACCATAACGGTTGTACAAAAACCGCAATGCTTTTTTGCAAAGTCTCTAACTTAACAATTGACAGCATTGTATGAGGGTCCCATACAATACATGTATATTCTAGCATTGGTTTTATGATGGTTTTATAAGCAGTCAGTTTAGTCTCTGGTGAACAGAGGTTAATATTTCGTTTCAAAAACCAAAGCTTCAGCATTGCTTTACCAGCAATAAACTCAATATGTGCACTCCATGACAAATCAGAGGTAATTAAAACTCCGAAGTATTGATATTGTTTTACAGTCTCGAGTTGTACTCCATTGATAGAATATGTAAAAAAACAAAGGGTTGTTCTTCCGCGTCACGGCCATTTGAACGCACTTTTTACAGTTCAGAACCATATTCCATTTTATGCACCATGCATGAACCAAAGATAGACAATAATTTAATTCTTCTTGATCAGACGGGTTGTTCACCTTACAAATAAAACGCAATCGTCAGCAAAAAAAAAAAATCGGCTTTGTACATTGGGGTGGTGTATCTTTAAATCGTTAATAAGAATTAAAAACAAAAGCGGCCCAAGGACCGAGCCTTGGGGCACGCCTGAGAAAACGGGTGACTCGGGAGATAAAACAGAGTCAACACTAACACACCGCGCACGGTTAGTAAGATAGGAATCAAGCCATCGTAATATGTTCTCGTTACTGATTATGTAGCGTAACTTATGCAGTAGTTTGTCATGGGAGACGCGATCAAACGCTTTCGCAAAATCTAAAAAGATAACATCTGTCTGTCCGCCGATATCAATGACAACCGCAAGTCTGTGTATCGTATGAACAAGTTGTGTTACAGTGAAAAAACCCCGTCTGAATCCATGCTGTTCGTCCTGAAAAAACATACTGTCCTCGAAAAATGTTATAAGATGTTTGAATACGAAGTGTTCAAGGAACTTTACTGGCAGTACACAAAAGTGAACCAGGTCTGTAGTTTCGACGCACTGACTGTCACCCGATTTAAATATTGGCATCACCCTAGCCTTTTTTCCATTCATCTGGCACGTCTCCCGTATTGAGACTATGGCAATAAATCAAATTCAAAAACTTTGCCGCCCATTCAGCGTATCTAAACAAAAAAAAACAAACAAAAAACATTCGGAATGTCGTAGGGACCCTGGCTCTTCCTAACGTCAAGGTTAAGGAGGGCCGCAAAATGTCCCTCTTAATTCAGTAATGCTGATGTCCGGTACCACTATTCTAGAACTCTCGTAACTTGGAACTATTCTTGTTTCCACAGTAAATATAGACGTGAAGTACTCGTTGAAATCACTTGAAATTAACTGCTTGTTATTTGTTAGGATATTGCACAGTTTCATGTCCGAGAAAGAACATTTCTTTCGTTTCAAAAACCTCCAAAACTATCGGGGATCACTAAGCAGAGAGTTACGCAAGGTGACGTTAAAAAAACGATGTTTAGCATTTTTAACAGAAGACCTAAACTATCTGCGCAAAAACGGTAAGGACAAAATGTTATTCCGTTACCAAATTTACAAACTCACCGTATTTTACGCTTCAAATATTTGAGCTTAAGAAACACTTTTTGTTGCTCGTGCCACAGATAATGGGTATGGTAAAACCAAATCTACCCGTTTTTGAACAATCATTAAATGTTTAAAGTCAAGACCAAATCAATGCGATTTCGTTTTTCCTTTTCACGAAAGCATGTCGGTGAGATCCTGCACATCACACCCGCTGTGCAAGGCACAAACGGTCAGACTAGAGCCACTAAATAAGCTTCACTCTGTGACACTTCAGCCGTCTTGGGGCTTAAAATAATGGTTGCCAGTTATCTGAAGCAGTGGCGTACGCAGGATTTCATTTCGCGGGGGGCCGGACCAACGAGAGTAAAGGTGGACAAGATAAAAAGAAAAGAAAGTCCAGGAGAAAATAAAAGCATGTTCATTTTTTTTCTAATAACTATGCATTATTCTATTAAGTAATTAAAATAAAGTTGTCATATTGGTTTTGGAATGTTTATGATACATAAAAATGATGCCCCGGAAATTCCCCACCAGGAAGGCGTTTGCATTTTACTTTTTTTTTATTTACAAGTCACGTCAAAAGAAGGCACCAGAGTAAGCAGAAAACAAGAATCAGAAAAACAAATATTTTATAAAGCACGACTCCAATGCACGAAGCCTCCAGTCATCGGGGCTGATAAAACAATGATGCATAAGTAGAAACGCGGAACATCTTGATGGATAGACGATAAGCACTGGAAAGCTGCTCCACCATAAAGTACTCCCTATCTTAACCTGATATAACCAACAAAAATCTCACATGATTTTTTCGTTGGTGTCGATTTCTAAGGTTTCCGAAGTCCGCTCACAAAAGAAAGCCAAGGAAGTCACACAACGCAACAAAGGGACGATGTAAAATGGTTTACACACTCTCATATTGCACTTGGCTCTCGTCCTGAGGCAGCAGGTCGCACACTCGCGCCCCTATGTCGCGCGGTTCTCAAACTGCCGATGACAACTTCCGTATTCGAACCTTGAACCGCAAATCCCGCGCCTTTAGGCGCCTATATTCACTTTTCTAAGACTTTTCCCGCCATCCGAGGAGCCAGTCAGATATCGCTCTTTTTAGACCAATGGGAGCCACGCGGTACAAACCAAACACAATACAAAATCCAATTAAGAAAGGACACGTGCATAGACCCCCGAAAACTCCTAAAAACCTTCGCCCTAACTGTCACCGTCAGCCGGACACCGCTTCAAGGAAAAACCCCTCGTCGGGGTGCAAGAGCAGTACCGACGCTTCTCAAAATAAAAAAAGACTACAAAACATCGAGGGGCCCCGCTGCGCTCGAGCGAGGCACAGCGCATGGTACGCACCCAGAGCGGGGTCCTCGAGGAACAATTAAGACAGGGGACACGAGGGCCGCTCCGTGGCGACGGCAAACCAGCCCTGGCGGCTCCGTGAGAGGGACATGGGGCACTCGCGAAACAATAAAAGTAGAAGTAAAGAAAGATATTCGTTATTTGATTATTTTTCAGTCGTATTAGATAAAAGACGTTAAAACTACACATCTCTTTATTATTTTTACTATGTCACAAATGGCATATTGCATTCCCTTCCTTTTTTATTTCCTTTTTTTTTTTTTACAACGTCTCCGCGAAGTTTGATATTGATAAACCCGAGAGTCAGTAACCTCGCCGACTCCCCCTCCCCCCCCCCCCCCTCGGAAATTTCCGGGGGGGGGGGCCGCGGCCCCTTCGGTTCTCTCCCCCCCCGTGTACGCCACTGATCTGAAGCATTTATCTGAAATCGCAGGAAACGCTTTTCTGTCCTCCAGAAATGTTAAAACAGTTTGCGACGGAGCAAAACAATATCACCTGAGCTTTAACAGTAGCTAATGCTGTGGAAGTATCACTTTTTAACTATGACGATCGACAGTTGCGTCTGCTCTGCACTAATCACCAAGATGGCAGC